TTCAGCCATACATCACATCCAGGACAAACAAGATTCATGGGAGAGCTGCCCAGCTGTGCAATCGTACTGTGTCCAGATGTGCACTCTGTAAGAGTATGTGCTGAAAGCAGTTGTGGCATAGAAACTGGTGGGTTTTACCCAGTGCCCAGGCAAAATGGGGAGGAGAGATGGAGTTAGAGCTCCTACCTGAGTACAGTTTCATAGGCCTTCTGCATTCCCTCCTTTTGCTATTTCCCATTCCTCCCTTCTCCCAACAAGTGTCCTGGCACCCCAGGACACCATGCTATGATTTCTAGAGATTGATCTTTGTCCAGGATGCGCCTTCTGTGTTCAGGAACAGGAATTGAAGTTTCTTTTGTAGCTTTGCCTAAATGTGGTGATGTTTCCTATCATTAATATCCCACAATTAAGACTACACCAAGAAATGTTCTGAAAAGCCAGCAGCAATCTACTTAATAAATCCATTCTACCACACAAGTCCTTCCCCACTTACTCATTTCTAAACTGTGTATTAATTTGCCACAGGTTCTTCTTTGTATTGGACCCTCTCCCCTTCTTGTCAGCTTCTTGGAGCCTCCCTCTGTGAGGCAGAACTTGGATATAGAAAGATATCTACAGCAAACCCACAATTCAGACTCTCAGATTTCCCCCACTCCCCCTTTCTCTCCCTGATACCCATGAGCTGAAACAGGTTTAAATGGGAAAGTGTGTCTGATTCCTGGATGGTCTCTTTTTTCATGAAAAACAGCAGAATGCAGAGGAATTTTGGTGCAGACTACAGTCTACAAGAGGAGTAGTTAGGGCAGTGAGGGGAGAGCAAATCCCACAACCCTGTGTGATTACAGTGTAAATTAAGATGAACTGTAGTAAAGAACAGCAGCACACTGGGGGCACAGCAGGATTTGGATTGCAGACAGTGCTTAGAAAAGCCATAGAAATTTTCTCTTTTGTTTATCTTTTGCTTTAATAGGGAAATTTGTAAATCATCTGTCTCTTTTTTAGTCTGAAATAATTAAAACAACAAAAACTTTAATCTCATAAGTGGCTTTGGTAAAAATGTACGCTAGATTTGATATAATGTCAAAAACCCATTCTCTTCTCTCTACATCTCGCAATAAGGGTGATACAATGACATTTCATGAGTGTCAGAAAAGATTTGAGTTTCAGTATATAAAAATTTTTTAAAATCTGAAACTTATATTTTAGATGAGGTTTTAGGTTCTTTCATGTATTTGAGATAGTCAAGAAGCTGATATATTAGAATGACAAATTAATTTGATCGTTGTCAGTGTTTTGATGTTTATGTGTGCTTAGATGTTCCCTCTGCCAATGAAAAGCTGTAGTTTTGTTCGTGGCTTTTAAAGTCTGATCAGCTGTCCTGACCTCCTCCTATTACACACCTCTTTGGAAATCCAGCTGCAATTGATTGAAAAGTTTCTCCTTACTGAGAAAATCACAACTGGCCAAGGGAATAGGAAGTTGTTACTTGATCGAAAACAGCACTCTGCAGCACTCATACATTTCTGGATGGATGGAGTCTTTTTGTCTGGGTACCTGGTGTTATTTATTAAATAAACCATGTTTTTTCTATGATTTTCCTTTCTTTAGTGAAGGTGTGAGCTTCTAACTTGTAGACTGCCTTAGTATTTGTGGTGCTGGTACTTTGATGATGTATGCTATCACTGATCGTTGATGATTTAGTCCTTTCCTTACAGACCCTTAAGCAAGCACATAGCTTCCCTGCATGTGAAGGAGAGCTGCATAGTTGGAATGGCATTTAGAGAGACCTGTGTTCAACAGCCAGCTCTGCTGCCAACGTTCTGGTCCAAGCTTGTGCAGAAGCCTCTGGTGCTTTTCAGTTTTATATGATCTCTTTCATCATCCCATTTGTAACAGATCTGTGCCTCTGAGTCCTTCCACTATTTTTTGAGTGTTGACCCTTCAGCTCCAACTGCTCCGGCATACTGCCTTACCCATTATGAGCTTTGTGTTGCCCTGGAGTTGTGTGGGAAAATGAACTTATTACTTAGCTAGATGAACCATGGAGTGTGATCAGTGACTGCTGCTGATGAGTGACCTACTTAAAAGAATTAGGAAAAAACTCTGCTCATAACCTTACAGTGGTGATCGTTCATAATTCCTCTCCTACTTGCTGCGGTCGGCATTCACCAGGTGGAAGGAACACTGTTGTGTTTGCAGGTCACTTGCCTACAGTACATATTCCCAAAATGGTATTTCAGGTGTTTCTTTTACAGTTCTTTAAGTAGTAAGTTTGTACAACACAAAGCTTCAGCAGTAAAGAAGCTGAGTCAGCTAAGAAAGGCTTGATTTTGAGACAGCCAAACCCATATATGAGTCTGAATAGCTCCCTTGACATTAGACACATTACTTTCTAGTCTGGTTGTTTATTGTTCTTGAGTGATACCCCGCTGTCTGTATTAGACTCAGGGTCCATTGTGCTAAGTACTAAAGGCACAGAAGACCTAACATAGGCTATACAAGGAATCAGGAAAAGGCTAAACAGTCCTAGGATGGTACAGGAACAGGAAAATGTTATGACTGAATAACATTTTCTGACATCAAGCTCCAAGACTGTGTATTGGTTTCTGCAGCTGAGATTCATGAGAAATTATTTGCTTAATGGAAGCATATCTCTGGCTGACTCTGGTTCTTTCTTTTTTCTCTTCCATGCTCAGAGTTTTTGGGCACTTCAGTCTCCGTTCTGAATGGCAACTGGTCAAGGTGGACTACAAGTCTATCTTCAGCCGAAGGTGTAACAAAGATGACTACCAAACCTGGCATCTGCACAATCAGGTATTCCCACTGTGTA